GGGTGTATGAGTGTCTTACTTTTTCCCTGCACTCACTAACCTTATTGTATCGATGTGCTTCTCTTCAACTGAAACTCACATAGCAGAGCCCCCCCAAGTTTGACGGGCTACCTAATCAGTGTATCCGCGGACTCTAAACTAGTTCACTTAAAATTTTAGTATACATGTACTTGTATTCACGAAAATGTCAGAATGTATTATTGCAATACATTTCTGACTGGATACCTCTCTGCAGGCTGTGGTGTTAACACTGACACTAGAGGAGCGGAATTTAAAACATTGATCGAACAGCACTATGGAAGTGTAAGTCAAGGGTGTCAAGGGCCTCAAGTGCAATTTGCCCGCAGGCTGCGAGTTTGAGACCCCTGATGTAAGAGAATATCTATTTAAAGGCAAATGCTGAAAATAGATTAGCTATCAGAATGGACGAAAAAAAACCACATTCTTTCTCAGGCCTTGAAGAGAGTCAGCTAAGAAACGTGTATTATTATATCCTTCATCTCTGTACTATGAATGAAAAGGGTCAAAGTTTAGGGATCGGAGATGACCATTGCCTTATCTGGGAATGACATTGACAATGCAGTAGGTTTAACGTACTCCACTTCTGTGAGTCTTCGTTGGAACATGATGATAAAGCAGACAATAATACAAGTCTCTCAGTGGGACGTTGAAGCACCCCCCCCCCGATTCTTTAGGAGGGGAGACAACATCATGAAATGCCATCATCACTTCAACAGAATTATTTTTTTACATTCAAGCTGTAAATAATAGAACTTCCTGATGCTGAGAAACAATAACAACAAGAGTGTGCACCCTGCACGAGAAAATATATATTAGGCAAAAACGTAGGTGATTCAAAATCGATATGCTTTTTCTCGTTGGGGATAGTTTTTTTTCTTAAAGCTGAATGCATCGGGATCGGATAACAAGTATAACGATACGCACCAAACCCGAGGAAAGTATTAACTAGATCTATATAACAACAATTTATTTTATCAGTTAGAAATCAGCCTTAACATATTCGTACGCTTGAAGTGAGGATAGAAGGACGTAGAAGAACCAGAGAAATACGAAAATAATGGCGCTGACTGTCTTGGGTACTTTTGGACCTCCAAGCTCGGCGCCCCCTAGTGGCTTGATAGACCGCCTCAGCATCAGTATAGCGATAGTGACAATGGCGCAAACTGTGTATAACGTCACACTGAAGGCGAGGTTACCGGCCGGTACCTCAAACGTTGTGCCCTGATCGTGGAGAGAGAAAGGGGTTGGGGTTGGGGAGGATAAGAGATGGGTGATTTTTAGGGGGGGGGGGAGAATGGATGACGGGGCAAAAGAGGAAGGGGTGGGAAAAGGGGAAAGGGTGACAGAATTGGGAGGAGGGGGAGAAAAGGACGTATTAGAAATTCTGGCAACAATAATTCTAGACGACAGATTGGAAGATAGGGATGAAGTGAGTGAAGAAGAAACCAAAGCATCAGGAATCAACATGGCAGAATTGCTTTTGTTATCGTTTAACTGCTTACCAGACATTGACTGATCAGACATTTACAAGGTTCAGTGCTTGGTACAGAGAATGAGAAAGGAAAAAGAAAGCAAAGACATGAGCAAAATCTTGTTCTGTAAAAGTCTGTCGTAAAAGATGGTGTAGGCCTACATCTGAGCAACGGTTTTTCTCTGGAACCGTTCCACAGTTTAAGAAGTTGTGCCTCCTGCACGTATCCATGCAGGTGGTTTATGGTGCAGCTGAACAGTACATGTTTTATGTGTACTTCTTTTTTGTTTTTTATTCACCCCCCCCCCCCCCCCCCCTCTCTCTCTCTCTCTCTCTCTCTCTCTCTCTCTCTCTCTCTCTCTCTCTCTCTCTTTCTCTCTCTCTCTCTCACTCTATCACGCTATCTATCTATCTATCTATCTATCTATCTATCTATCTATCTATCTATCTATCTATCTATCTATCTATCTATCTATCTATCTATCTATCTATCTATCTATCTATCTATTTCTGTTTCTGTCTCACTCTCACTTGCTCTTTCACTTAACTAAATTTCAGTTAGTGCCTCTTTACTCAAACTAAAACTAAAGTTAATACAATGTGTGCCTATTTTTCGTTTATTTTATAACTAACCGAATAAGAGAGGGGAAGGGGGGGGGTATTACAAATTGTAAGTTCGGACAATGGAAAGAAGTATCAAAATCATAACAACAACAAAAGAGCAGCATGTCAGAATGGCAACAATAATCGAATGTCTGTTTGTCTGTCTGTCTATATGTCTGTCTATGTCTGTGGTGTGTCCGTTTGTTTTTTTCCCTCTCATTTGTATTTCGTATTTTGACCCCGATAGATAGATATGTTGGCAGGCATGCAGGTAGTCAGGCAGGCAGGCAGGCAGACATGTTGGTAGATAGGTAGGTACGCAGGTAGGTTGGTAGGCAGGTAGATCGGTAGATAGGTAGATAGGTAGTTAGATAAGCAGACAGACAGGAATATAGGTATGAGTGTAGATATGTGAGTACGTATTTTAGTGCAGTGCAATTTTACAGAAGTGTCTTCTTACATCGATGGACCATTTAATGGCGGCAATTGTCCAGGGCAGGCCCAGGCCGAGGAAAACATTGACGGAGTTGCTGCCCGTGACGTTCCCTATGGAGTTGTCTGCGTGTTCCTCTTGTTTGGCAGCCTGCATGCTGGCGAACAAATCTGGCAAACTGGTACCCAGAGCAACAAACGTGATGGCCGTCACTGTGGGTTTCAAGCCAATCAGGCAACCGAAGATGGAGGCGAGATCTCCCACAAGGGCGGTCAAAATGCCAATCATTGCCAGGGACACAAAGAAGGCGAGCCAGCCTCCCCAGATGTGGGTCGGTGGGATGAGAGCGAAAATCACCTGAAGGGAAAAGAACAGTATTAATGTCATACGTGCACCTTATGTTTTGATTTTGACGATTTCTTTTTCAGGCCAGCTTGTTGTTTGTTCGGTTGTAGTCTAGTTGGTGAGTGACTCGAGGGCGCCACTGGTAGGTCCTACTTCTTTACTTTCTCCTCTGTTCTGTCAGGCTATCTGTCTGCCTTACTTGTTCCCAGTACTAAATGGCCACTATTGCATCGATGTGCTACTCTTTACCCAAACAAACAAGCAACGTTAATGACGTATAAGCCCAGTAAAGATCATATTTGGCTGTAAATAGATTTGGATAACAAATAATATCTGTCCCCGGGGTTTATGCACCCCGCATAATTTAGCAAAATGTGAGCATTTTTTGCGTAATTTCTGATTGTTTTCTTTTTTATTCTTTGTTAAAATTAACAGAATCCCATAATTTCACATTTTTTGGCCCAGTTTGCATAATTTCAGAATTTTTCTTTCATAAAACGACGGGGACAGTAATATACAGAAAAAGTTAAAGGAGCACATCACACTAGTGTCCCCGTCAGCTTTCAGAAAGATAACATGATGTTTAAAAGGAAGGGTTATCCTTTAAAGCAATATGCGTTTGCTCTAACGAGATTATAAATAGGTCCTTGCCTTGACCTAAAAAAATAATCCCCACCAAGGCTCACCTTCCAGCCAAATGTCAGGAAATGCATGACGTAATCAGCAGTTGTGGCCGCCTCCATATCTCCGCCGTTGACGTTCATAGCCTGTTTGAGCTGTTTGCCCCACGAAGATTTACCCACGCTGATCTGGTCGAGGTTGGCGTTGGTCAAATCCACGATACGGCTGACCACTCCCTGAAACTCTAAAAGTCAAGTCGGGGGAGGGGTGGGATGGGAGGTGTCAATAGAAATTTATCAATTTGCAATACCAGAAATGATTCATGGTTAGGTTTTCTTTGTGCATCTAATAAGGAGGCCAGCCTGTGTGATCTCCCAAAGGTCAAGATAAAATTAAATGTAATGGAAATAACATTTCTGCAAAAACTGAAGAAAGGGCCTTTTTATGTTGTTTTCCTTACTTTACTTTTATCCGCCGCTTATACCCTTTTGGGTAACATTGTTTTCCGAATACCGCATATTCGTTTGTCCGTGTTGGTGGTGTCCTTCGTGGGCCATAGATAGATAGATAGATAGATAGATAGATAGATAGACAGACAGACAGACAGACAGACAGACAGACAGACAGACAGACAGACAGACAGA